GTATGTATATATATCTCTATGTTAGAGATTACAATGTTTATATAATTTCATATATGTCAGCATCAATCTGAGGGATTCTTCTGTGCTCCAAAGAAAAGGGAAAAGTGAATCACAAGAAAAGGAAGGGAAAGAGTGTCATGTGGCATCAGCATTTCCAGTGTATTCATTCCTAATGTGGTAAGTGCCAGCACAGACGTGACTTAGAGGGGCACTACTGGGTGTCATTTCCCTGGGGCACACCAGGGGTGGAACAGAACACAGGCAGAACTGAGACTATCGCTCCCCCTTTCACCACAAGCCACCCCAACTGGGTCATTTTAGCCAGGTGAAGTCTAGTCTGGAATAACTTTCCTACTCCTGTAAAAGGGAGAAACTAGAATTTGAATCCTAGGCTGCAGTTGATCCTTCAGCACCCACCACAACTATGCCTGAAACTGGGAATGGATTCTAGAGGCAGGATCTCTCTGTATTTAGTCTGTTTTTTACAGTCATTGACTCATCATTGGGAAATTTTTCTTTGGTTCAGAAAAGGTCAGTCCAACAGATGATACAAGGATAGGGGCCAAGGCACTACCAGGGGCTTCAGCTTTGGCTGAATTTTCCAGTTTTGATTTGTACTTCCTGTGTGAGTGTACTCAAGCTATTTCATTCATCCATGTCTCCATCCACTCTGAGGTGAAACACAATGTGCCATACTGCTTCATTTTTACTGCAATTTGTTTGTAAACAGCTCAGGGGAAAAAAAAAATCTGTCTCATTATTTCCTTTGGCAATGTGTTCCCCATCCTTAAAAATTGTTTTGGTCTTTCAGAGTGTTAATTGAAAATGATTAATGAACTGGTGGCTTTTCAAAAGACAGCAGCATTTTGTGATCCTTGGGATGTAAATGTGTCTCAGAGGTAGAAGGAAAATAGGAATATCTATGAGGGAAACTCCAAATTTTATCTCAGTGTTCTCACCACTGAGAGATTCTCATAATTCATTTAGGGTACACCGGAAGTTTTGAGCTCACCCAAAGCACAAACTAGAGGTTAATTTCAATGGTGAGAAGGCAGTATCTCATGGATAGAGCTGGAAATTGTCTTTGACTCACTTCCAGATCAGAGGACATTCAAAACTACATTTGCCACTTCCAAGGAAGGTTTCCTAAATACCATATGGGAATAAGAGGTATTTTCTGCATGTCATATTGAAGTAATTTTCCTGCAGAAAGGAGAAATCCAGAAAATTTACTGAGTCAAAGATAGACGTAGAGAAAGGCATGGAAAAATAGGGACATAATGCTAGGGTGGAGAATTGGGACAACTGTGAAAGGGGACAGCAATGCTTACTCTATAGGATGTTTCTGTATTTTGTGTTAAATGCAAAGTGAGTAATTGGTGCTACAGTTATCACCACCACTGTTACCTAGACATATCCTTTTGCCAGTCATTAAATGAATGAATGGCATTAAATGAATGAATGGCTGAAGACATTAATGAATTCTGAGAAAGAAAACGAGAGGTTGTGCTTCAGGAACGGGCTCCAAATAGAATGTCCCTCTTTGCTGCTGGTGCATAGTGCCAGAGTAAGAGAATATTCCATGTTTTTAGTTTGTTGCTACTTTCTAGTCCCCCCTACAGAGACCAGAATCTGGACTCTGAAACCCCTACAGATTGTGAGAATCTGGCATTTGAAATGTAAATGCTGTCGTGCCTAATCTCTAACCACCAAGATCTATTAAATTCTTAATCCATTCCATGGAATTAAATCTTAATCCCTTTACCCTCAGATTTAAGGTAATAATCTGAGTTTTCTGGAAAATATCTGATATAAAACTCCCTTGATTTTACATAGAATACCCCACAAGTATAGTTATTTAACTTGCTTGAGAACACCTGGCCAAAATTAATTTTTTGGAAGAACTGGTAATTCAATTTCTTTGCAATAATTTGCATGTAAATAGGTTTGCAAAAATCTTAATTTTAGTTTCTCTGAAATCATAGTATTCAGTGTAGATACATGAAGGAATTTCAGTGGAGCATGAGATAAGCTCCAGAAATACTGAATCCTTTCGATTGACACATTTGTGCTGTCATTCAGCAACTAATTCCATTTTTTATGATCTTGCCAAGATGTTCAAACTACATTAGTTATGTCAAAATTCTTTGATTGGTATTTAAACTGTTTTCTCTTCCTTTCGAAAAGGTTGTCAGTTTAACTGCCCAAGTGTAAAACACAGTTGCAGAAGGGTTTATGTGTGGTAATGACACACACTAATCTTACCTGCTCATTCAATGTAGATTCAGATTTGTGTGTCTGAAAATAGTATAATGTGTCTGAGATTAGTATAAGGACGTACTCTTTGAATTATGCAGAAGTAGTGCATTAAAAAAAATGCATGGATATTAGTGTCAAAACACCTTTTCTTTTAGTGGATAATATCTTGAGGACAGGGATCTTAGGTTCAAATTAGGATAATTGCAACTAATTGAATGCAATTTAGAAAGCGACATCTTCTAGAAATGGTGTCAGGTAATGTGTAGTCCAATACATCTAGCAGATGGATTGTTGACTGCAAAGGAATTAATTTGATGTTTCAGTGTCATTTATCTCTGTTCCTACACTGCAAAGTAAACATGGAACTCCAATGACACACAATGTCAAGAAACAAGTAGGTGCTGGAATTTTTTGGTGATATTATCATTATCTGGCTACTTTAATCAATCTTTACTCACAAGGTTCAGTTTTCATTCCTTCTGGCATTTAACCACAAGACCAGATCTCATATAAATAGTATTCAAACAAGCTTCTTACCAAAATTAAAAGATAGTTTTAAGCATAGAAATTATGTATACTCAGTTGGTCTGGCAAGTCTTTAGTAGCAGGGATGCCAGGGGTGACTTCTGACAGAAGATGCTTAAAGATTCCTGTGTCTGACATAGCCAATTCCAGCTGGCTTCAAGACAGACTTGCCAGTGGCCAAGGCCAAGCCTCTCAGTAACAGTGGTTGTGTCTCACTGGTAAAATACTTAAGAAGGTAGTAAAAAAACACTTCAAAACAACAACTGCAGTCAAAGAAGAGAGGAGTGAGAGTATGTGAGAAACAACATTGCAGACAGAAAGCTCAGTGAAAAAGGAGGGAGAGAGCTTGTTCCAGGAGCTGGAGCAGAGATTTCCCTGCAGCCTGTAGTGCAGACCATGGTGAGTCCGTGTACTTCCACAGGGAGTAGAGATCCACCTGCCTCTGGAGAATCCCATGCAGGATCAGATCAATGCCCAAAGGAGAAGTCTACACTGGAGCAGGCTTCTGGCAGAACCTGTGGATTCATGGAGAGAAGAGCCTGTGCTGGAGCAAGTTTGCTGGCAGGTCTTGTAACTCCACAGGGGACCAACACTGGAGCAGCCTGTTCCTGAAGGGGACTGCATTCTATGGAAGAGTCCCATGCTGGAGCAGGTCATAAGGAACTGTGGCAAGAACTCACTTTGTAGAAGATTGTCTTCTGTGAGAGGTATCCCATGCTGGAGCAGGGCAAGATTGTGAGGAATCCTCTCCCTGAGGAGGACAGAGTGACAAAGACAACTTGTGATGAACTGAACGCAGCCCCCATTCCCCAGTCAGGAGTAAAGTTAACGTTGGCAAGAGGGGAGAAGTTGGGGAAGGTGTTTTAAGATTTGTTTTTATTTCTCCTTATCCTATTCTAATTTGATTGGTAGTAGTAATTTTTCCCCAAGGAAAGGTTTTTTTGCCCATTACAGTAAATGGTGAGTGATCTCTCTCTGTCCTTATTTTGACCCATGAACATTTTTGATATATTCTCTCTCCTCTTGTCCAGCTGAGGTGGGAAGTGTTAGAGTGGTTTTAGTGGGCACCTGTTGTCTTTCCAGGGTCACCCCACCAGAAGCAAATATTCTGTTCAACCAGTTCTCATTAACAATAGCCTTGTTGGGAACTTATCCAGTTTTATTCATTTTAAAGCATATCAGTTATTGATGAAATTCATTCAGTGATCTGTGTCTTTATGTGGCAGGATACGCACTTGTGCAAACTCATGGGAAAATATGGAAATGAGCAACTAAGGCAAAGGGATAATGGCACTCCCTTCTGTGGTATTGTTGTCCTTGTGTTTTCCCTCCTTGTCTGTATGCAAAAGGACAACCAGAAGGTGGTCTGGCCTAGCCCAGCCCATGGCTTGATTACAAGAAGGATTGTCTTTCTTATACTGGACATGTCAGATCTCTTCTAGAACAAAAGGCTGAGTCTGGGTTTCCTAAGCACACCTGACTCAAGAGGACGGGAGTATTAAACAAAGCTGTAGAGAGAGTAGGCAATGACACAGACCTGCTCAATGTGCTGCTATCTTTCTTTACAGACAATGTAATATGCTGGGATAAATACTTGAAATAGGCATTAAATAGGAGGCTGGCAGCAATCAGTTGTCTTTGTCAAAAAATAACAGCTCTCTGAGTTGAAAGGAGGAGGTTAGTTACTTGTTAAAGTATCGGACTTAAGGAAAATCACAGGAAGAAAAGGTGAGATAAAATTACAGAGCCATGAAAATAACTGCTTAACCACTCATTTCCCTCCTTCAAGGTACAAACTCTACTGCAATAAGTCCATCGTTGAGAAAAGATGGACTGTCTCTGTAAAGCCAGGTAGTTATCAAAAGCTCTCCCACAACAGACCCTTTAACAACTTCACAAAGCATAATCAGAGAGGAAACAAGATAACCCACCACAAATCAGCTGGTTTTATGCTTCTTTTCCTGTCCCATTATTTGTGCCTCAGGACATTTTAAAGACTGATCACAGAGATTTCTGGGAGAGGTGAGAAAGGTGCAATATCAGCAAGCCAGACAAGTGTACAGTTATGTTTTGGATGAAAAGCAGCAAGATATTGAGATGTACTGAAAATATCCAACTGCATTTGGTTCTTCTCTAAATGGAATGTTCTTATTTCTGACATGTAGGAACCAAGAAAGAAGATATTTTGCAGAGCAAAAAAATATTCCTTTTTCTAGGGCAGAGTCTCTCAAAGATGTCTTGAATATTCTCAGCAAAGATCCAGGATCCCAGGAGATCATTTGCAGCTCTTTAACAAGGAAAAGGGTAAGTTGCATTTGAAGAGTTTACAGCAGCACCTGAAGGATTGCTGCTTTTTAGAGTTTTTAGTTGCCTATTTTTCTCTCTTTTATGTTTGCTTTCCTGGAAGTAAATTTAAGAAGCTTCTGTTTGACAATTGGTTTACCAATAATCATTATTTTAAAGAATAGCACCATTCACTCTTATGGCAGCCAAACACCATATTATTGAACATTTTTTAGAGAAGTGTTTTATGCTAGTGTTAATTAGAATTCAGCAAACCCAACTACCAGAAACATTGTCCCTGAACTGAAATACAAATGATCTCCTGTAATACATGTGCAAATTGGTATTAGTGTCAATGTCATGTAAACACTAGAGCAAGACAAGAAGTACTGCAAGGATAAATTAATGTTGGTGATCTGCTCCAGTAAAAGGAAAAGCCTTTCTTTGAATAGCCAGAAAGTTCTGCCCTGAGCTGCATGTTCCGTTTGAAATGATGAGTTAAGAATCATTTACCATCTATACAAATCTGGAAGCATTCCTCTTTTTCTACTCATGTGATTTCTGACGTTAGCCTAAGCCTAGGAATCATGGAAAGTCTTAGTATTCATTTATTTTAGACTTTGAAGCACCATATATTTTCAATTGGTCCTGAAGTGCATGACCTTCTTCACTGCAAGATGTTTTAAATCTTCTGAACCATTTTCATAGGGCAGTCCTAAAGACAGAGTGACTAGAAAGAAGACTTGACTCATTTAGGTGGAACGTGCTCTTTTCTTTGTTGTTCTTATGCTAGATTCTGGTAGAAGCTTGCATTCCTATTTCAACTGAGGCTTGTCTCAGCTTAGAAGCCCTCATTTCATTATGGCAGCCTCACAAAATCTGGGGTGCCATGTCCTGTCTCAGAAGAAAAAGGGTTGCAATCAGTGTTGTGGGAGCATTCTGGGGTCTTGGAGAAAAAAAACAGGGAACCCTGCTGTGGACTTTGGTAATATAAACCATGGGAGGAGCAGCACAACAGAGAAGAATGATGAAAAGACCCCCTAGAGTAGGATCAAGCCTGCCCCACAACCTCACACTGAGCTCCTCTGTGCCCTCCTGCTGCACCACCACTGGGGCAGTCTGGTGAGGCAGAACCCCACAGCCCAGGCAAGTTCTTCAGTGGGGTACAGTGAAGAGTAGGGCTGCAGGGCTGCCCCAGAAGGGACAGCTTGCCCTGCTAGTGAGCCCAGGTGCAAGGCCTTCCAATGTCTTAGATTAGAAGGTGATTCTGATATTAGGCAGCCCAGGTGAGGGATTGGCACCAGGGCTAGGAGGCATAAGCTTCATTGGTCCACAAAAAAATTAGCTTTTCTCAATCCAAGTTAGTGCATGCCAGCTGCCTCATTAACATTAAATAGATAACATGATGGGGAAAAAAATCAGAGGAAAACCTACCTGAAGTTGAAAGTGTTTTGTCTTGTTTTCTTTTTAACTGGAGACCTGCTGGAATCCAGAAATAACATTAAACTTCTCTTTAGAAGAAGTAATTGAAAAGAAAAAGGCAATCAAGAGATGAACAAATGAAGCCTTTTCTTACTGCTGTATGAATAAAAAATGTTGTTAATAAGCCCTTTCATTTCAGGCTTCCACTCTGCAGTCACACGTTTTGAATGTATAACCACACAAATGAAAATATTTACTTCTTAAGTCCTTCACAGCATTACAGATGTTTTTTGAAAATAGAGAAAGGGAGCCAAGAAGGCATGGACACAGAGTGACAGAGGACAGTGGGAATAGAGATTTAATCAAAAACCCTTTAAAAATTACTCTTTTATTTCTCAGCTTTCAGTATTTATATTGCATAGCCAATTATTTTTTAAGAATAGCCAGTCTCATTTTGCTGTTTTAGTTTTTAACATTTTATTTCAATATACATTTGTGGGTGATTAAAAGGAAAATCTAAATTGCAGCAGTGAGAGAAGCATCCATGTGTTTTTGTTCACATCCAGCTGTTAAGACCTGGAAAAGCTTGAAACAGCAGCAGGCTGGCAAAATAAGGGTGAGAAGTGAAGAGAAAATAAATCAATATTGCGCCAAGAAGTTTCACCCTACAGAGCCTTTCTCTCTTTACATTTTTGTGAGGAAAACAGTATTATCCTGTATAATTTTGGGGATTTTATATGAGTTTTTGTAAAATTAGTCTATGTCTTTAAGAACAAGCTGACTGTTCATTTTGGATTGTCACAGTGCAATGAGAATATAGCAAGCATACAGGGGTGGCAAATGTTGGTTTCTATAGTAGTCTTGAAAAAAATATTGAACAAAACTGATTTTGTCTCTTTGGTACCCTCAATATGGTTAAAAGGAGGTGTTTGAGCATGCATGTCATTGATTAATGCTGAAACTAAGACCGACTTAAGAGGGTTTCCTCAGACTCCCGATGGTCATAGCAAAGAAAAGCAAGCTCTAGAAATCTAATTGGCTATACACTACAGTGAGTTTATCCCTATTGTTAATTGTATTAACCTACAAAAGGAGTCAAGGATTAATTAGAAATAAAGACCAGGTGATGAACTGAAGATTCTCAAGGGAAGCCCTGATATGTATTATCCTTAAACTGTATAATTATCGAAATCCTTACTATTTTAGTGGTGTGCTCACCTGCATGTAACCCTAATTGCTTCTTTTATTCTTAGCTCCATGTTTTTGTACAGATTGCTAATCATATTTCAAACTAGAACCACCTGCTGAAGACCTGCAGAAACAAAAGTGGAAGGATTCTTAATGTCCTAATTTGAGAGGAGGTTATAGTACAATATGATTAAGATCAAGCTGCCTCATGCTTGAAATCAAGAATAAACCACTCTTATTTGGCAAAAAAGGTAGGGTTCTTTCCCTCTGCTTGTACTCAGATTTTCCCTTAGGTTAAGCTTTAGTCAAAAGAGAAGTGGTGCCTGATTAAAAGGTGGGATAAATGAACTCAAGTGCTTTCTGAAGGGAAAAACAGACCTCAGAGCTCTCATTTTGATGAGTGACTGTAATACTATACAATGTTGGGGTTGTCCTTAGCACTGATTTATCCTTGTCCAGAGCACTACCTGACACTTGTGAGAAGCCACAATAAACACCAGCTGGGTATAATGAGAAGGTACCAGGGACTGACTTGGTCTGGAAAGATCTGCTTTCCACCCCTGTCACTTCCCGTGGACTTTCAAAATCTTTCCTCCTAGTCTGTGCCTGCCTTTTTGTACCACTGTATATCTAAGCAGCATCCTTAGAAAATGCATGTGCTCCCTTTTAAAAAAGATCTGTTAAACATAAAAGTAAGAAATTCTGAAATACATATTGATAAGCTTAAAAAAAAAAAAAAAAAGGCAGCAAAGTACCTTGCAGGCAGTCTTAAAAAAAAGACAGAATAATAAACCTTTAGATCTGTTTCTTTCATCCAAGCTCCCATTGCAATGACTGAGAAACCTTGCTTATTCATGTCAATGCAAATATGTGACTGTTGTGTTTGAATATAAAACATCTGGTATTCTTTATGGCTTTTTTTTTTTTCTTTTTTTCATGACAACAAGAATATGATGTATTTTGTTACTTCTGAGAAGAATTATTGGTACTATACAGCAAAAATTAAATTTGGATATTATTTTGAACTAAATCAAGTAATATCCTGTGTCCTCCCTGTATTTAAGCCTATATACATTGGGAATTCTGGATTTTTGGGGCCCTTATCCAACACTCACTCAGTGTCAATATTGTGCTTGATTACAGGGAAAACTCTTGCAGCCCAGCCGTGATGAATTGTGATGTTCTCAGCCATTAAACAGACCTGAGCATTGGCCCAGAGTGAAACAGTCTCAATAACCACTGCTTTTCCAGCAGCAGCTGTGAGCCTGCCCACTGCTTGATGTGTAATGCATTTGTCATACAGCCTGGGCTGAAAGAAGTCAAACAGAGTAAAAATCTATTGTCTGAAGCTTCAAGCAGAAGGGAGGTAACTACTTAACTTCTCTCCTGATGCTGATGTGAACACAGCATGTACTATTCATAGGTGGTGACTGATAAGAGGATCTGTGGTGGGGCTCCTTACCTCAGGTGAGGTTTTTATTGTAACACTAGGTAAGCAAACATTATCATAGCGGTGGGTTTGAAATTGCAGTGCTTGAAGCTGTCTTAGAAAAATGTATTAGAGCAAAGTGACTGGGGAGGGAGGGACAGAAAAAGAGGGTGGATTTTAACTCATTATTTTAGAGGGATCAAAAAAACCCTTCTCTTCCCAAGCAGAGCAACCTTCTCTGAGTAATCAATGGCTCTTTTGGCCCATTGGCTTCAGCTGTTTGGAAAATATTGGGTCTTACTAAGACTATGTACTAGTCAGGTGGCGATAAGGACAATCAGCTGGCATGAGCTATGATCCACAATTTTTACTGTAATTATATAGACAGGTGCCATCTCCAAATTTTTTTTCCTATTTTGTCTCTTTGTACTCATAGAATGATTTGGGGACAGATGAAATGTCACAGTGCACATGACTGAAATGTGTGAAAACTTAATTAACAGAATAATTACACAGCAGACGTGAGATCTTGTCTTTGTGAAAATCTGGCAGGAATCTTAGGCCCTATGGAATATGAGTCCACATATATAGTCAGTGGAAAAGCCATTAGTCACAAAGTGGCTGCATCTGCTGGAAAGCATTAATCAGGTCCCTAACTTCAAAGAACATGGCACGCCTTGAAATACCCTTCTCCAGGCTTCTCAGGCATGCTCTAAATGAATATGTGATTTTCTCCCAGCTACCAGGGTAAATCTGCATAGCTCAATTAACTGTAGTTGATTTATGCCAGTTACACCAACAGAGGATCTCGACAGAACCTAATAGCATCTCTATATCTAATAGTCCACCACAGCGTATTAAAATTGGGCATTATTCTGCATCAGCTATCCCTTTGCAGCCAGGGTGAATAGCAGAAGGATTTGTGATTTATTAAATGAACTCCTTCTCTACAAAGTTGAATCTAT